AAGCTAGGCACTCGACCACCCTTCTTCCAACGCACCTCTACCCTTTTCTCGACTGCGTCCCGCGTGTCCAAAGCAGCTCCCACCTGCGCCTAGTTGCAGAAGACGCAATCATTACTGCAGCACTAGCACACACGTCAAGCCCTTTCAACAAAGTCATGGCCACGTCTTCTGCATCATCAGCTGCTCAGGATGCGCAATGGCGAGCAGAAATAGCAGCGCGGGTCGAAAAGGATGGACGGCCGCAGACTGAGGATGTGACAGCCACTAAGGGCAACGATTTCGAAGACTATTTCCTGAAACGACCTCTGCTCATGGGCATCTTCGAGGCTGGCTTCGAACGACCATCCCCAATTCAAGAAGAAGCAATTCCCATCGCTTTGACTGGTCGTGATATCTTGGCAAGGGCAAAGAATGGAACGGGCAAGACGGCGGCTTACGTCATTCCCTCTCTAGAAAGGCTCAAACCCGAAAAGAGTGCGATCCAAGCGGTCTTGCTCGTCCCTACCCGAGAGTTAGCCCTGCAGACTAGCCAGGTCGTCAAGACTTTGGGCAAGCATATGGGCATTCAGGTCATGGTCACCACCGGAGGAACCACTCTGAGAGACGACATCCTGCGTCTCTCTCAAACCGTACACATTCTGGTCGGAACTCCTGGGAGGATCTTGGATCTTGCGAGCAAAGGTATCGCTGATTTGACCCAATGCTCGACTTTCGTGATGTGAGTTTCGAACGGGAAGAAACCTGGGATCCAGTTGTCAATGCTGATGCGCGCACCCCACCTGCACGTAGGGACGAGGCCGACAAGCTGCTGTCACCCGAATTTACGCCTGTCATGGAGCAGCTGCTTGGCTTGTTGCCTCGCGAGAGGCAAGTCATGCTGTTTAGCGCTACCTTTCCACTCATTGTCAAAGACTTTAAAGACAAACACATGGTCAAGCCGTACGAGATCAACCTCATGGACGAGCTGACGCTACGAGGTGTGACGCAGTACTATGCATTCGTAGAAGAACGTCAAAAGGTGCACTGTCTCAACACGCTCTTCTCGAGATTACAAATCAACCAGTCCATCATCTTCTGCAACTCGACCAACCGCGTCGAGTTGCTGGCAAAGAAGATTACTGAACTGGGTTACAGCTGCTTCTATTCTCATGCAAAAATGCTTCAAGCGCACCGAAATCGGGTGTTCCATGATTTTAGAAACGGAGCGTGCAGGAACCTGGTCTGCTCGGATCTGCTCACTCGAGGTATCGATATTCAAGCCGTCAACGTGGTCATCAATTTCGACTTTCCCAAGAACGCAGAGACGTATTTGCATCGCATTGGTCGTAGCGGTCGTTTTGGTCACCTGGGTCTAGCCATCAACCTCATCACGTATGAAGATCGCTTCAATTTGTATCGTATCGAGCAAGAATTGGGAACCGAGATCGCTCCCATCCCACCCACCATCGACAAGCGCCTCTACGTTGCTCCTTCGCTCATCACTGAAGATGACGGAAAGAACGCCAACGGGGCCAAGGCCCACCAAAACGGAGCGCCCGTCATCCCTCCTACGCAGAGGGCAATGCACCAGGCCATCATTCCCCAGAGTCAAGACTTCACTCAGAGCTCGGGAGGTAGGAGAGGCGGCGGCGGCGGCGGTCACGCGAACGCTGGTGCAGCTGCAGGTGCTGCGCCTTCACAGCCAGCAGCATGAGCCGACGGGTCGATTGCTGCGTCTGCCCAAGATCTATGCACCCCAACCCTCTCGCCAATCGCCTTCTCCGCTCTTTCCCACCTCCGCCGCATGCACCAGCATCCCACTGTCACGCCTGTGTGGAGCATCAATGCTTTCCCCACTTACCTCGAGTCTCGACTCCATCCTTCGAAACCCTCTCGCTTTCGTGGTATTGAAAGAGGTCATCGATCGCCAAATTCAAAAGCCATCGATGACCGCCAAAGTGTATACGTGTACTAATAGACTGCTTTCTCTCGACCCATAGCCGGCAGCCGATCATTCGCCTACGCGCCTTATCGACTCTCGACGACTCACGACACTGATCGGCCATCCTCTGCGGCCACTCCACTTCCCGATACGTGTGCTACCGCTGCGACCTTCTAGTCGTACGGTGCTCAGCACGCCAGTGCTGAATGGTCACTCCGCCGACCGAAGCCATAAACTCACACACGCGCTTGTTCATGAGTCCTGAAGATCGCACTGCGCCTTCATACTCAAAGTAGCCATACTTCCGACGAGGACGGTTCTTTATGGGACCGTTCTGACCAACCTTTCCGCCATCCACCACCGCGCTCGGCGCTTCTTTTGAATGCCAACCAGCCAGCCACTCGATGCCAAGTCCTAGCTACCGGTTTGTTAACAGGTTTGGGACACCCCCAAGGTCGCCTGACACATTTCTCTCACCCTCGAACGACCTACACGAACGATCTACAAGCTCTCTACACTGAGCGCCTCCTCCTCCCTACCTTTCGAGCATCAGTCTCGGATCCCCTCCCTTCTGTCGTGCACGCAAGCACTTCGCTACGGTGTGCGCTGCACTTGCTCCTGCTTCACACTTCCCCTCCGCTCCACCCGAAT